TGGACTTTCACCTCTCACGCAAAGGCTTAAAGTCCAACACATGAACTGGTCTCAAGCAGGCATCACTCCTGCTCTTCAGCATGACAAAAGAACTTCACAGGCGAAAACATAAGGACAGCAAGGACAGCTGGAAGTCATGGCATGGACGAGACTACAATCTCAAGATTTCAATTACGGGCAATATTCTGGTGGGCTGGGATGTTTCCGACGCAGAACATGGCTTGAAGACACTGGTCGCGTTTTGCACTTCTGGGACGACAGCCTCAGCCTCTCAAAGATCAAAATGGGCGGCTGCCAAGCCAAGTTGGAGAGGAACGTAGAGGAACCCATAGCTGGACTTGCACAACTCATGGTATCCCAGCACAGGAACCGTATGCCAAACAGGCATCACTCCTGCCAGTCAGCAGGACAACAGAATTTCACGATGAGGGAGGCAAATGAGCTGTGTCAAAAATCTGGTTGCGGTGCTGTTCAAAATCAGCTAGGTCTCTGAAAGCTTTCCATTCGCAGGCCGCATTTCATACTTGCCGCTTTTGCGTCTGTTCTTTAAAACGGTAAAGGGGAAGTCATGCACACTTGAACAAACATAATAAGTAAACGACGAAGCTTTCGCAACCACTTTCGCAACAACAAACCCATATGCCACTTTGCCAAAGCTTTCTCAAGGCCTTCGCCCGACGGGAGTCCACTGTTCTACTGCCGCGGGCCATAGCCTACATGGTCTAACTTCCTTTCTTGCGGATCTTTGAAGCATCACGCTAATGAAATATGACTCTGGTTCAGGATGACTTTGATAGTCCGTTGGCTGGAATGCTCTCGCAAACACATAGATGGAATTGAGATAAAAATGGGTGGCTGGTCAAGACTACATTGAGACATACTAAGACTTGCATTAGCATGTTGGCTGGAATGCTCCCACAGAAACATAGTTGAAAAGCAGGGATCGTATTTTGCACTGTTGGGACAACGGCCTCAGCCTCTCAATGGTTGGGTTGTCCAGCACAGGAACCTTGTGCCAAAAAGGCATCACTCCTGCTCTTCAGCATGACAAAAGAACTTCACAGGCAAAAACGTCAGGACAGCTGGAAGTCATGACATAGAGGAGATTACGGGGTGCCATGACCCACAGCCATTTCCTGAAACATGATTTGCGCGTTTGACTCACCCATTGGTGTGGAGGTCAGAAAAAATAGAGTAAATTAAAAAACGACCAACGAAATCCATGAAAAGAGCATGATCGGGGGATGTTATCCCAGATCTGCAGGCGTGTGCCCTTCATGCTATTGGATGTTCAATGGAAATGGAGTGGGGCCCATTTGGGAAAGATTTGGATGGTGAACTCTATAGTACTTAGTCCCCCCACATGGACACAGCTCTAGCACCCCATTGGTGACATGTGGCAGGGCTTGATACATGCATATACATGCCTATACATATTGCAAAACCAGGCAGGTGACAGGTGCCAACCTCTTCTTTTCGCACTTCGCGGCTTCTTTTCGCACTTCGGTGGCTCCACCAGTGGCGTGACCTCCTTTGAATCGGACCTTGGACTTAACTCCTTCGACTTTCCGAGACTTCCAATGTTCTGGTGGGCTGGAATGTTACCGACACAGAAACATGGTTTGAAGACAATGCTCGCTTTTGGCGCTTCGGGGGCAACAGCCTCAGCCTCTCAAATTTGGATGTATGCGGCTGTGAAGCCAAGTCGGGCAGGAACCCATAGCGCACGGGAACCTTGTGCCAAACAGGCATCACTCCGGCTCTTCTGCATGACAATAAAGCTTTACAGGTGAATATGTCAGGACATCTGGAAGTCATGACATGGAAGTAGCTACATTCTCAGGACTTCAATCACGGGCAATGTTACGTTGCGGTGGAATGCCACCCTCGCACATACATGGTTCCACAGACAAGTTTCAGAGTTCAACTCTGGGCAATCATCTTGACTTAGCTAAGGCCGTAAGCAAACGCGGAGGTTTCTGAATTGTCTGAATAGGTTGATTCGTAGTCTTTTGGACCATGACTACCGATATTGCAATCGAAGAAATGAAACTTGCGACCTTAGGGAAAACATTGGAGTACCTAAGGCAGTAGATGCATGCAGCCAAACTCTGCCGCCCTCAAACACTTGAGGCTGCCGGAGAAATGCAACGTATTATATAACTTTGAGGGCAAAACCGAAGTTTATCTGCAATCATGGTGGCTTCAGCAGGTGGGTGCCAAACTTGATCTCCAATCATGCTTTCTTTGAGACTGCATGGAGGCAAACTGTGTGCGACTGTGTGACACGTCGTTGCTGACTACATTGAGACATACCAAGACTTGCATTAGCATGCTGCAGGGGGCCCATTCCCACAGAAACATAGTTGAAAAGTAAGGATCGTATTTTGCACTGTTGGGACAACGGCCTCAGCCTCTCAATGGTTGGGTTGTCCAGCACAGGAACCTTGTGCAAAAAGGCATCACTCCTGCTATTCAGCACGGCCAAACAAATTCATAGATTGACGATATTCAGGACAGCTGGAAGTCATGACACGAAAGAGACTCACTAAATTCTCATGATTTCAACCACAGGCAATGTTCTGGTGGGCTGGAATGCCACCCTCGCGCAAGCACAGTTCAATAGACAAGGTTCGTGACTTGCAATTCTGGGCAAACAGTTTGACCTAGCTACAGCCGTAGGTGAACGCGGCGACCGCCTTTGGCTAACCCTTGCTGCCCTCAAAGACTTGAGGCTGGGAAAACCTGAATAGGTTGATTTGCAGTCTTTTGGCCCATGATAGTCGAGATTCCACTTAATTAACTCAGGGTTTCCAGCCTCAAAAGTTTTGGAAAAACCAAAGTGAACGTTGTTCAAAACCTATCGTTCTATATAACGGGCTCTTCTTTTGCAAGTTGCTTTTGCAAGACTTTCGCGGCTTAGCGTGTTGCCACTGAACTTGACACCAAAAGCATGAATGTAATGAATCAACCATCTGCAGATCTCAGCGCCATGCTTTCCAGAGAGGTTGTGGATCTCCTGCTCCTGCTACTCCACGTAGCTCCATGTGCTCCAACCCACCTGGGGGGGTCAAGCTCAGTCTGACTTCGCTCGATGAACATAATTATACATATATAACTATGCAACTACTCTCTAGAACATGTTGCAACCCATGCTTCAGAGCATCACTTGTTAACAGTTCTGGAACCACTTCCGGGGCGTGTGGAGTCTGGGAACCGTGTGTAAAAAAAGGAAGCCTTTCCTGCTCTTCAGCATGGTAAGAAAACCTCACAGCGGGAAGTCATGACCTGGAAATGACTACATTCTCATCATTCTCAACACTTCTATCACAGGCAATGTTTTGGCTGGCATGCTGTCCCCACAGAAAGTCTCCAGCAAGAGCGGTTTTTACCAAAGTTGATCTATATATGCTTTCTTGGAGACTGGAGCCTTCTCAACAGTTCGATGCATGTGGTCTTAGGATTTAGGAGTTCCTTCTTGTAAACGAAAGGTGTCGCCACCGGGAAATGTCAATCAGATTTCTCAATAATAGGAAAATCCGCAGTAGTTTCACACAATTTGCTCAAAAATTCTGATCCGGGCACATCCGAAGTGAGCTCAGACTCATCAATTCCAAAGTTCCATCGATATCGCACTCTGCGGTGTCAAGGAATGTCCTTAGCAATGTTCCAAAAGAAAAGTGTGAAAATGAATGGTGCGGTGTGATGAAGAATGTCACCATCAAATACTGTACCATGAACGAATCTAAGCAGCTTCAATCCGTTGATGAATGGTACAATTATCAGTGTTGGACTCCCAGTAACAACTGACGTGTCGATCATGTCAACCCAGGAAAAAGGGAATTGGCAACAGTGCATGAACGGTTTTGCAAAGGACAGGTTTTAACAATCCAGGGCGCTGCGTGCACTTCAGCTGCCAACGAGGGGGGGCCTGCAACAAACTGGAGTTTGCCTCGGCTAGCATGCGGTGAGGACATGTCTGGACGCTGGAACAGCATCCGCACACCCAACGTAACTTGTGTCAATGTCCACCAATCTACGTTAAAGAACTCATGCGCTGTCGAACGGGGTTTTCCATAAGTGCAGCAAGGATACGCCGACATATGTGTGCAACCAAAAGCAGGTGCCACATGACAATGTCAGCCACCACCCGTGAATTCTTACTTCGAGTTTCAGAAGTAACAATGTGGTTCACACATGTCCCACATCTCCACTGCCTGTGATTGTTGAGCTAAGCATGGAAGCCGTCAAACAAACTGGATGATGTTCCTGTACTTATTGTGGGTGTCCCGCCAGTTTATCTGCTTCTATTGGCCAATTCGCTGTTCCGGCGTGCAATAGCTGCTGTTCGAGCTGAAAACGGCGCCGCCGTGCCGGAGGCGTTCAGCACGGAACGCGTTGAGGAAAGGGATCGGCCGAGACCAACCAGAAGATTGACTTTAGAAAAGGGATGGGTAAGCCACGAAGGGTGGGTAGCAGCAGCGGCAGTAGACCACGGCAGCAGCAGCTCCATACGAATCCTACACCAAAGCTGCAGCACCAGTAAGTCAAGAAGAAAAAAAAGAGGAAGGATGCGAAGCTCGATACGAATCCAGCAGCAGCAGCAGCAGCCGCAGCCCAATAACGAGGAGAGAGGAGCCGATTACGAATCTAATCGCACTAAGCAATGGGACAAGTTGAACATGCGGGGGGTGACACGGAGCTACAACCAAACTCCTGCGGAGTGCGGGTTCCAAATACTCGGTGCACAAGCGAACACTCCGTTCGCTGTGCACAAGCCACCCCCCAAGCTCCCAATACGGCAGCGGAAGCAGAATGAAAGGGACTGATCACGTCAGGACTTGCTTCATGTTGTCCAGGTCTTTACTAGAAATTAAGAATTTGTACATACAGTAGTCTTCGCACAGGTTGGTCAGCAACTCCGCGTGTTGACGAAGGAAGCCAACAAAGGAACACAATGGAAAACACACAGCAAAAACAAACGAAATCTGCCAAGAGTCTTGTAATTGACAACTCTCTGGTTGTCCAATGCCTGTGCGGGCCGCTCAAACTTTCGGCCATCCAGCTTCAAAAGCAGCTCTGGCTTTTTGGGCGGACATGATGCCTTGGCCAACTCCAAGTGTTTCCTCAGTGAGCGTCAGGCCTCTGTCACCGGCGAATCATGGCAACATGATGCAACATGAGGGTGCCAGCTGGTTCAACAGAAGCAGCCTCAACAAAATAGACAGATATGTCTTTCGAGATCTTTCGAGCATGTCTGGGAGCGGTCCCTTTTCACCATTCGAAGTGGATAGGACCACGACATCTTCGCCCACGGTGTCAAACTGGCTCGTGCCAGTGGCTAGTCCATCGGTCCATGACCCTGACAACACTAGTGACGAGTGAGTTCAAGCATTCAAGCGGGGCTTTTGTGATGACTGCTTGAATGAATTGAATGTGCTTCATCATGATTAATCTTTGGGATCCATTAATCTCAATCATTTCAATCATTCAATCCGCATCTGGCGCTGGGAGATCACTTCAGAGCGGTGGACCTAAATACGGCTCATTGCTGTCTTGCCACCCTTCTGTGTGTCAGTTTCCTCCCCACCCGGTTTACCATTGTACTGGTGTGTCCGCCCCAAAAAATGCATTGCTGCTTGACCACATTCAGTACAATGGTAGATTCACTGGACACACCAGTACAATTCTTGACCACACCAGTACAATGGTCAGTACTGATTCAGTCAAGATTCACCACCGGCTCATGATGTTGATCCAGAAAGCCTTGCTTTCTCAACCACACGGCCACGGCATAGAAGCTCCGCAGCTCTGTCCCTCAGACAAGGTCGAGTTAATTATGTCGGGTCCGTGGCCTCCAGTGGCCTCCACCATGCGGTGCTCCTGGGACCTAAGCCTCCCTGTTTTCAGGAGTTGTCCACGTCCCTCACCGAGTGCTTTTGCCGTGCCTGACTGTGGATCGGACCGGGTAGTTGAGAATGCACGATTCGGACGTGGTCGTTTCATGTGGCACCCAACTGGACTGGACCGAGCATCCACGGTATCAAGAAAACAAACACTTAGCTCTGGCGCTCCCGAAGCTCTCAGTAGTCGAGATGTAGAACCTCCAAGGAACGTCCAAGGAACGGGCATCAGCGAAGGCCCCAGTGGTCAACCGCCCCACTTCGCCCCACTGGTCCAACGGCCCTTCTGGCCAAGCTTCGTTGACGAGGGCTGAACTCTTTGAGGCGTTCCGTGGGAACAATTTCTTGTAGTTGCACCTTCTGCCAATGCCTCGGCAGTTGGACGGGAGAGACGCCCCACCTTGCACCCGGCTGGCGGGTGTGGTGTCTTCTTCGGCTGGCCAGAAGAAAACATCACATTGTACATTTGGGTAGGCCTCCTATTCCCTGTCAACAGTGGATGATGGTTCAGTTGCAGCCTTGTTCAACCATATAGTGATATATGATATATATATATACATATGCATACATATATATATATAACTATATATATATACCAGCAACACCCAAAGGGTGGTCGAGTGAGACCGGTCTAGATGGAACCTTCCAACCTGGGAGCCGCTCGGTGTGGGTTTGGGTGGCCGAAATCGGCCATGAACAGCTGGGTTCAGTGACATTCAGCAAACCAGACCAAACATGGCATATCATAGGGTACATATGCTAGGTGTGCCAAACCATGGCATATCGTGGCATATCCTATGCATGGCATATCATGGCGGGCCGCATGGGGCACACCTGGCACGCCTATGGCCTCAAGCTGATGATGGCCATCGGTCTCCTGCCACTGATCGAGATTTGTCGTCATAATCATCCCTCATGAACTACTTCCCCAAGGTGAAAATGAACACTGCCAACTGGTTGGTGTGTTCAACCCACTTGACAACTATGAGTCAGAGGGTCCAATCATCCCCAGGATGAAACCATGAACATAAACATCTCCGAAGCTACTGCTCGATTTGCCCAGCTACTGCTCCACTTCTGCTAGTCCAAAGGTTCGAAAGCCCTCAGGCGTTGGAATCTCAAAGCGAATCTCTGGCTCCGTCTGGAAGGGTTCGGCACCTGCACGAGCCAGCGAGCCAAGCAGCGAGGATCATATGGAGGATGGAACCGACAGAGGATGGTGATCACGCCAATAGGATTAAACCAGGTTTGAGGTGGGAGCCAACAGAAAGTGATTCCAATGTAGAGTGTCACTGCTGGCTTTTTTGTCGGGCTGCCCAAATTCAAATGCATGAGATGCAATTCACTGGTGTGCAGTTCAGCACGGCTTTGACCAAGTGCTGCTCAAACCCGCATGACAAAAACGGGTTCCTTGTGGCTTGGCCAAGTCTCCCAATCCAGCCCAAGCATATAATATCATATAATGTAAAAAAGAAACATACCACGGTTTCAAAGACAAGGAGCTGAAACCAATTCCTGAGGCAGCACGCTGAAACCAAGTGGTTCCCGAAAGCGCACGACTTAGCAATATGAATTTTGGATAACGTGGCTTGCAGCACCCACAACCAGTATCTATGTGCTTGCCTAGTATGCACCGACAGTGCTGTTGAGCATGAAGCATAGTTATATAGAGTCAGAAGCCCTCCCAAAACTCTGCTCTCATTTCACTACTCAACTCGGATATGGACCAAAAGGAAACATGGTGGTCCAGACTCTTGGATTCCTTTTGCACCGACATGCACCGACCTGGAACAAGGAGCCGCAAACATATGGAACTCTTCTGTATGTTTTCTCCTTGGTGCGTCAATTCCGTCTCTTAGCTCAATGGTTTAAGTTGATCATGCCAAACCCCACACGACAGGTAGTTCACAAGGACCCCCCCGTCACATGCGAGAGGTGGTTATAATCACAACCCACTTCACAACCCTTACGTCTATAGGACTGTCAAATGTCTGGAAAGGTCTGCACGGTCATTCTATTTCTATGGTGCTGACCATCGGACCCCAAGAACCGCACGAACCCGAGGCCACGCCCTCTTCAATGAAATCCAATGGAAGGTACCAAGCTGGGGTGAACTGACATGAGCACAACCCCTACAAACACCACAGATTTTTGGTGAGACCCGATCTTGCAGCACCAAAGATCGCCCAGAAAAAGGTCGCTGACTGTTTGAACGTTTGGCTCAGCTCAGGCTCCTAAAACTTGTTGGCACCATCTCATCACAATCTCCTCAACAGAGTGACGCGCCGCGGAACGCGCGCCGCGCCGCGGTTCGTACCGGGGCGCCGATGACCAATCCAGGTGGACCCCCGTCCGAGTTCGGGTGCTCATGTGAAACAGCTGATGTATATAACTTCATTGCACTATAATGCTATCAATATGAAGTATACATATGATGTATAGTACATACTATCAATAGCACTGTATAATACGTCATTGCACTATAATACTATAGTGCTATCAGTATGAATGGTGTTGAATCGTGAACGTGTCATGTAACTATACCGCTCGCCGCTCACATATTAAAGAGGTTGAATCGGTTGCCCTTTTTCAGGGGTGCTCAGTTGCCTGGGCTGTTGGAACCGTCACATTTGGCTGGTTGTGTAACATGTGCTTTTACCTTTACCCACTTGAGAAATATTTTTGATCATGGGGACGTTACCTAGGCATTCAAGAGGAACTCTACAATCGAAATAGACATCCGCGAAAGCACCAAGCAATTTGGACACACCCACATAAAGCCTGGCATCCTTCCCATTGAACAGGTGGATCTGGTGTCCTCTCGGTGCTGCGACATGCTACGACAACGATTCTCGCGAAAGCACGCCTTCTAGACTCATAGAGGTGGATTACGGGATTGCAGAATCTTGCAGAAATCAGAATGGTGTAGGGCGTAGGGTATCAACCATCAAATCTCATCAAGCCAGCGTGTTGCCGTATATACCCGAATATACCAATGTTTTTGGCGACCCGCTCCGAGCTGCTTCCATCCTAGATGGATCGTTTCAGTAGGTCCGATGTCTGACAAGCATGGGACAAATGACCAACACCATCCAACACCATACGCCCATCCTGGGTGTTGGGAAGCCCCAAAACCCCATGGAACACCAGCATCCGAGCCATCCAAATTGGACTTTGTGATGCCCCCCCCGTTTTGAGCCCGGCAGGCTCTTTCTCTAGCTGAGCAAATTCCTCTGAGGCTTCCATGTCATGTCTACTCGGTCCGTCCAGCTGGCCCTCCTCCTTCCTCTGTATAGGGATAAATGCCAGGGACCGTCGGCTGCCGCGGCATCCTCTGCTCAGTGAGCTTCCTCCGTTCTTCGTCAGTCAGGCCTTTGCGAGAATCCTGACGCAGGGTTCACCTTGGAATTCCCAAGCGGCTGACTATATAGTGACTAATTCAGAAGCCATATGCCAGTAGGCCGGTGGAGTTTAATGGAGTTGAGCTCTGGAACGGCAGTTCGGGTTGTTCGTGCGCAGGGGGAAGAGAGCAAACAGACTAGCAAACAGCCATCCCCAGTTGGGACATGGCCTGGCACACAGCCCATAAAAACAGTGGCTTGACGCCCAGATCATACCTTACCCACTTCTGGTGGAGCTAGGGCACCCACAAGATGCGACTTGATTAAGTCATGGAAAGCCAGAGAAGCGGTGAACACCCTGTCCTTTGCCACCTCTTCCATTGCCCGCTCTTTGCTGACCTGCAGTGAGGGAAGCTGCTACATCAAAGAACCGAAACTTAGGTGGCCCTACCCAGTCCAGAACAATAAGGAGGGTAGGGCCATCATTCAACTGAGACCAGGCTCAACAGCTTGTCCAAAACCTCGTGGAACCACTTGGACCGGCCCCGGCCCCAGGATTAGGGGCAACTGGCCTCCTCCTGTGGGTCGTTGTCGAAGTAGAAGATCTTCGCCTTGGAGGCTCTTGCACGTCCACTCCCTTGAATGTGGTCCTGCACAGCTCTGCACAGAGGGGTACGGCGCCCTTTCAAACACGGTGTGGCGGGGGGCAGTGACATCAAACAAGGCTACAGGGAGACGCCTCTGATCTGCCCTGGGACCAATGGCTTTTCACTCTAGCCGCAGCCTTTCTGAATTTTGTATATCATATTGATTAATATTGTGTGCATTTAACATATTTTAACATTATTTCACTACTTGACCTGGAGGTCTGGCTGGAGGCCCCCCTGCTGAACACCCATAGGCTATCTCAATATCCACAAGACCAGCATCATGGCGCCCTCTTTACCCGTGGAATCACCCCAACATGCAGAGGATTTCCCCTTGGGATTGCGCTCCTTGGTGGTGTTGAAGCGATCGAAGCGGACGACCCAACTGCAGGAATCCACATCAATGCCCTCTTCCAGGGCGTTGGTGGAGACCACGACTTTGGTCTCATTCTCCTTGGGCTGTGTCGAGGAAGAAGCGGCTGATCGAACCGACCAAAGCGGGCAGCTCCTCTCCATGATCCAAGACTGTTCTATATGGTGAAAGACATGTGAAAGGCGACTGTGTGGCTGTGTGATGCGGAAATGCGGAACATGATCAAATACATCAAGCAGTGCAGATGCAGTGCAGTTGCTTTGCGTTTCTTTTATTCATGGTTCTCAGTCTACATCCATATCTCGCTTGAAGTCGAACAAATCGCCAGTCGCAGGCGAAAACGTGGGCTTTCCATCATGTTTCCTCGTCCTGGTTCCACGATGGAACGGCCCATTTCCGCCCAGGATCCTTGAAACGATCCAAGATCTTGTTCAGGTCTTGCCTTGACCCCCCCTAGGGCTCCAACCATATCCTCAGAAGATGGTTAGACCCCCCTGGCACCCACGGCCCATCTTCGAAACGGAGGTGGTTGGAGCCCTAGGGCCTAGTCATCTCCAATTCAGTCGGTGATCGCTGTCGTTGAACACCGAACAACTGCGGGGTCAGCGGGTCGAACTGGGTCTACGAGGCCACGTTCAGGCGATGACGTTCGCGCACTCCGCACATACACGTATGGCCTAGCTTCGGGCCTCATACACGTGGCAACATAGGGAGGAAAACATAGTAGACAGAAATAGCCCCAAGTGACCCGGGGGTTGTTGAATTGGCCTAGCAAAAAATTAGACCCGGAGCAGCCCACACCTGCTTCGCAACACAAACTCAAGGTCCTCAAGGTATCCCCTCAACCTTTCGGGCTACTTTTCGTGACTTCAAAGACTGGGGGAAGTCTTCCAAAGGTCCTGTGCATCACCCCAGAACCGGCTGTGACCCCTTGGGGCGAAGCCGGTTAAGACTTCAGCGTCGATTCAAGTGCTTGGTCCTCTCCTTCTGAACTCGTTTTAAAAAGGTGCTCCCCAATCAAAAAGAATGAAGCCGTGGTCTTTGCTCATGACAATGGGAAAGCGCCTTCGACTACCTCGAAATCATGAAAAGATCAGATCCTCTTCGATGCGCTTCGTCATCTGTTTGTCAAACCCCATCCTGGCCCTCCCCCAGGACCGCCTGGACATCTGTCCATAAGCAGCCTCCGCGTGGATGCCCAAGCGCTGGCTGATCGTCAGCGCCAGGGGCACAGTGCAAGACACTTGCTCCACGAAAACAATGCCTTGCGCCGCGAAAAGCCCGACGAATGACCGGTTTAAAAGAAAACCTGGTTCCAGCTCACATCCAGCTCAGGCGCCGGCAAGCCACCGAATCCGGCCGCGGCAAGTGGATATGATGAACACACAGCAGTTCAACGGATTCAACTCGCTGGATTCCCAACTCGTTATCGGCGGGAATGTGGAATGAAGTGGATGTACAGAAACGAACAGCGGAGTCACCGACCCAGTGCGACCTGCGGTGAACCGTCGGAGAAGCGAAGGGGCAGCCTGGCCTGTTGTGGAAGTTATAGCTGTGGGAACCATCTACTGTTGAAAACCAATATTTGTTGTTGTCGTCTCTCTCTCTCTCTCTCTCCTTCTCTGTCCCTCTATCTCTGTGCGCCTCAACAACCCGCCCTTGTACGGTTTCTGGCTTAATCATGGCGTCATAATCTGCATAATTTAGAAGAATGTGAGGTATCGTGGGATTCTCATATCAACTCGCAAACATCAAACACCAACCCCCTCATAATTAGCCTAGTTGGCTGGAAAATCTTCCAATGCCTCCTCCAAGCTGGTAAGGAACGCGGCCTCTAGGCACGCTTGAAGGGGAAGCCCACCTCACAAGACCCCGCCCCCACCCAAGGCGACTGAATAGTAGATCTGTCCAATGTCCCCCAACACCCAACACCCCCTGGATATAGCCAACACCCTGTCCTTTCACCATCTGAAAATAACTGAAATTTGATCTCCAAGCTTCCTTTCTGTCCCTTCAATGGCTCCTGCTCGAGAAGCTGCAGCAACCGGTCCACTTTGGGTGAAATCTCCGGCGCAGATCGCACCGACTCAAGCTTCAGCAATTCTGGGTGAAAGGTCCGCGCCCAATTCTTCAGGTCTGGTAGACGCCTAAGAGGCATGGAATCTTGGAAGAACAACCTGTTAATGTTTCTTATAGTGAGCCTATCATAATATATTAATATATATCTATATTATTAATAGTTACGCCATATAAGTTTGTCATTGTCCATTGCCTCGCTAGAACGTCGGTGGGCCTTCCTTGTCTTTGTGCCGTACACGTCTTCCACCCATGGGCTTCCGATCAAAAGTCGAGCGTTTCGGCAGATTTGAGCCGGCCATCTTGAACAAAATACAACTTCCGGGCGAAAGACAATGCCAAGGCCGAGGGTCTCAAGCACGGACTTGTGATACCTCCGCTCCTCCTCAGACACCGTTTCCGCCATCATCACGGTGTTGGCCTTTTCCCTGAACTGTGGGACGATGCAGTGCTGGGTGTAGCTGCTCAACGCATTGCGGCCGAGCTGTTTGAAGACCTGCCGTCTGAAGAAGGGTCGCAAACAGTGCAACAGTGCAGGACATGGTCCAAAACGGCCCAGAAAGGAAGGTTGTGATGCCAGTGAAACATCAACGGCGTGGTTAAGTTTAAGACTGTGACACTGCTACTGACCACAGAGTTCACTGGCGTTCGCTGGTTGCTTGGATTGGGTTGTTGCCCTGATTTGGGTTTATCCGTATGCATTGGTTCAGAGTGGGATAGCCATAGTTTAGCCTAGTTGCCAATGTCACCTCACGCCTCACGCAATTCAAGCAAAGAATCAGTGAACAGCAATATGGAGATCCCCTCCCACAAGAAAGCCCCGACCAAGTATAATTGCTTAAACCAAGCGGGTCGTAGTCACATTGCCAAAGGTCATGAAATCACACACCACCGGAAGGCAATCCAAAGAAATCCTATGGACTTGAACCATTTTGAAACGCTCCAACTCCAAACGATTAGAAACAGTAGGGCTCCGAACGAATTCCCCTATGAGACTATCGAAAGCATGTTTTAAGGGCGTGCTATTATTCATTCATTTTTCTTGCATTACGCAACTATGACTCAAGAACAGGTATAATTAATGTGACTAAATTAACTAACGCTACTTCCATCTTTCAAATCCTGTTGCCACCACGCCCCTTCCATCATCAGCCGAGACACGTGATTCATCCTCAATCCCAGCCTTTGAAAGTCCTTGACGTCGGCTCCATCTCCCAGCGTCTCAGCCATGCGGGACAAACCTGGCTGAATCTCGCTCTCAAAGTTTGCGCCATAGCCTTGGCGCTTGTGGCTTGGACGCTCGTTACTTCGTTACTTGCTCAGGAGTCACGAGAGAAGGTCTTGTCACTATGCCCGCCTTGGAACGTTTGGTGCAAGAGGCCCCCCGGGTCCCACAGAGTCTTCATGAGACTGACAGTTTTTGGACTACGGGGGGAGGGAACCGCGGATCCACCTCCCATACCCCGCACCCAAACAAAAGTAACACCAAAAAAAGGCTCTGCTGTCCCTTCGCCACGCAACTGCTCGCTCGCCAGTGGACTTCCTCATAGTCTGTCGACTGATGATGTGCATCCTCTGACACTTCAGGCGCGAGGAAACCTGAGAAAAATGGCCTACAAACTTGCTTCACGGTGCCTTGTCAATGTTAATGTTACACTGTGTGTTCATCATTCTGCCACGCAAAACCGATTCCTTGCTGTGAGACGCATTGACCCTAGGAACAACATGCTCCTCTACAAATACGGGTCCTATCGGGTCCTCAAACCTGCTCAATCCCAAGAGAAACTGCAGTAACTACAGCATCAACCCGTTCGCAAGACCTGCGCACGATTCTTGACACGTCTGATTCTTCGGCTTTGCCAACGGAGGTGTTTCGCGTCGAACGGGCAGCACCATGTCTCTGGTGGGAATGACATGCCCACGGCAGATGGCACACCACAAAACCATGTGCCGAACCTTGTGCCGAACATGGTTTCCATTACGGCACATGGTTTCGCACACAAAACATAAACTTATATACTACTAACTTCTACCCAAAGATCAAGGACCTGAAAAACGTCCCAGCCAAAGCGAAGACCGAACGTCTCTGAACACCGCTCAGCTATCCATCGGAAGAACATGCCCAAACATGACGTGATTGAATTCCAGCGTGCAACACGAGGGAAGTTCGTCGCTTTGTGATGTCTGAAAAGCACGGGTTGTATATGGTTGTATTGGAGGTCCACACTCCCCATCTCTCTCACCCAGGCACCGGCCCCCAACAGCAGCTCCATCTCCTGAGAGGGGAGCGTCGGGCTTCCGGGATTTTGCCACCTTGTGGCCCCATCCAGTCTAGATGCTGACCAACCGCAAGGCACATCCAGTCAATAGAATGCTTCGTTATGTGCTGCGAGCCTGGTTCTTCGCTAGGCTATGTGCGGCGGACGGTCTTCGGCTGCGGCACCCAACAATAGGTTGAGCGGCCTGACTGTTCGCCTTCCAACCTACACACGGGGCTGCCCCAGCTGTACGCAGGACAGTTGGGCCCTCAGCTAGGCACAGAGTGAGGCACGAAACTGTCAAGAGAAGAAGTGCAACCGTCCCGCTTTGAAAACCCCTTGGAGCAACCGAATGACAGGGTATCTCTGATATGGGCGGTCCACATTCTGATCAACACCGACGCCGAAACGGCTTGCCACGCAAATCATCAAAGTCACCCGCGTGCATGCGCTTTACGCGTCCCCCAATTTCAAAACACTGAGGGGATCCAAACATTCTTGGAGACCCTGGGCCCCACTATGACATGAAACTTACAACTTGACATCCAATGGGGTCATACTAAGGTCTCTCCAAACCTGTGAGGGGACATAGTAAGTCTCTCCAATTGAAAGCAATTGAGCCTTTGAGGGGACATACTAAGGTCTCTCCAAACCTGTGCCTGTTCTCCTTGCCTCTCTTCTCATGGCCCGGTGAGTGCCTTACGTGGCTGCCCTGATGGATCAGCAAAAATTCCAGCAAATCATTTGCAACCCTCGTGCCCCTGATGATGACATGAAGGCCAATTAAAGCTTGAGATGGAACAAAAGCGTTGGAAACATGGAAGCTGATGCCTGGTTGCATATTGGCATTCTACGATGCAATCTTTACGTGCTTGTAGCTACTGCAGCTTTGTTCACAGCGCCTCCCGCCCTCAGTCTCATGGTCAGAAAAACCTACCAGACTACTTCGCCCCTTACCTTGCATCTCAGATTCCATCTTGGCCTTCTCGGCATCTCTTTTCCCTCAGCACCATGGCTGTGGCGGCCAAGGGGGTCGTAGCAGGGCGCGGACCGGCTCCGATTGGAGGGTGGTCCTGTTCATTGGAGAGTCCATGAACACTGAACACCACATTTGACAGCTTAGATGGAACAAAAAAAGCAAAAGGTAGATCCTTTCACCTTCATCAGATTCAATGTCCTATCCAGCCTATCCTGCTTCTAGGGGCAAATGAGATGTGCCCACTGACGGTACAAACGAAACTCCATGCAATGTCTGTTGAGCGGTGGGCTCACACATTGGTATGAGTTGAAGCCTGCATTTGGACCTGCTTAGGAGCACGTGGGAGGTCTTCCATTTTCTCGCCTGGGGGTTACGTCAATGTAATGGTCAAATGGTCAAACTCCCTCTGACCTGACTTTTACTGAAAAACACTGCATGGAAAACTAGACCAAACCCTCTTTGAACCTTACTTTACCCGCCCCCCACACATTCTAGCATATTCTAGCCCATAGTTTGATAGGACAATCAATCAGACTTCTTGCAGCACAGTCGCGACGAAGGAAAAGCGCACCAAACAGCCCAAAGGTTCAAACCCCTCACAGGTGCGCGGTCTTTGCAGTCCAACTCCTACCCCCACTCAACTCAGCATTTCCCGGTCATCCGGTCATCCGGTTGTCAGCGACTCGTCCGGCGCCGCCAGGTGACGTTTCAGGTTTCCCCAGAAGAAGCTTGCAGTTAAACCCAGCACTCGAGGCTGAGGCTTCTCTTTGGCATTCCTTAATTAGCGAGTTCAAACCCCTGGAACTGCGGCGATTGATTGGAGAGAAGCACGGCAAAACGAATCTTTAAGGAACGTGAGAAAGCAAGATTGCTTACACACCCATGTGACATGTGGCGAAATGAACAATGGTGCCTCCAAAAAAAAAACTGTCACCGAGCCCTGAGCAAGAGTCAGCCGCCGAGACTCGATTCTACGCCGAGACTCGAAACGAGGCGCATGAGATTGGCCATGGGGCTTTCCCCCCGGGCTTGATGACATTCATCCAGAACGATCAACGAGAGCTGCTCGGCCCTCAAATAGCCTCGGGACCCAGCATGTTCTCTCGCTGCGGGGAACCAAAAGTCGGTGTCGACCCAACAGTGTCCTGTGTTGGTCCATGAGGACGTGTAAGTCTAACAACGTGTCAAAGAAGTATACTCCTTGTACCTTCTTCCAGCTTAATACTTCTGATATCTTGTTCTTGCCCAGCGCAGGGTCATTGCTGTCGCTCAGGGTTGATATAGCACGCATACTAGCATACATAATGTAGCCGTTTTGTTCACCGCCCTTGCGCCGGGAACTGGCCAGTGGCTAGGTATTCACGCATCCACACTCATCCACGCTGTCAATTAGTGGCAAGCTCAAAACAGATCAAAGTAGTAAAAGAAACATGTTTTTTTTTTGATTTTTTCTTTTCATTTTTTAAGGGTCATTTTCATGAACTCTCACACTATATCACACCCATCCGTGGTTCCCTATTCTGTCTTGTCAGGCCACTTTCGTTCTTACACCAGTGGCATCCAGTGGCAGTCACATGACAAATCCAAACCAAACAACAACATCTCGGCACATCACCACACCCTGCAACTCACTGGAACAAGTCTCTGCTGCCAATCAATAAGTCCAACAACAAAACCAGCGAAAGCAGCAGCCACAACAGAAGAAGAGAAAACTAATGTCAACCTAGGATTAGGGAACCCCCCCCTATTAGTCTACCCAGCGTTCAGGCCCCTACAATAAACTAATTTGAACTATGAATTTCCACAGTCACCACCCTCTAATAAAAAAATTGTTTGGCTGAAACCCCCCCCTATTAGTCTACCCCCTGTCCCCCCAGGAAAAATACAATTATTCAAATATATGTGTGTTCAATTAGTTTTGTTCTTTTTGCCTTTTCAATATTTTCTTGTCTTACCATGGTGAAACTGATCTTCTGATTGACAAATGCTCTCCCAAAGCAACAGCTTTCCTAGAATTTCCAAAAGCTCTCTAGGAAAATTCTTTCATTTTCCCTTATTAAAACTCTATCAAAATCTGCAATTTGAGAAGCTCAGAAAGGGTACCCCCCCATACACCCCCTACCCCCCTCTAATAGTGGGGTACCCCCCCCTATTAGTCAACCCCATCCATGATGAGCTCTCATGGACCTCATGATGAAAGGAAATTAGTATTTGGGCTCTCATGGATCTCATCATTCCATACCAGCTCTTCCAAATACTAATTCCCTTTCATTCCAATTCTTCCAAATACTAATTCCCTTTCATCCCAACCCTTCCAAGTACTAATTCCCTTTCATTCCAATTCTTCCAAATACTAATTCCCTTTCATTCCAATTCTTCCAATTACTAATTCCCTTTCATCTCAATTCTTCCAAATACTAATTCCCTGTCATTCCAATTCTTCCAAATCAAATTCCCTTTCATCATCTCAGAAATCAAATTTGTGCCAATAAGCTCTCATGGATCTCATGATGAAAGGGAATTAGTATTTGGGCTCTCATGGATCTCATCATTCCATCCCATCTCATCTCCTCCTCCTGTCATCATCAGGTCATCCCCACTATTAGGGGGATGTGATCTCCAAAACCTCCTATCTCAGACCTTGTTGACCTTCTAGGGGGGGGGGGGCCCGTTGATTAATCCGACGTCGACATTACTTGAACAAAAAAACGGGAAGAACATGGAAGAACAAATGTGCCCACAGCTTCTTTGCTTCCAATCAAATGCTGGATTCCCTCAAATTCATGGAAAAAAACAAGAATAGGAACATCAAAATATCACCAAACGACTCATCAAAATTATAGGAACTGTCATCCGCCAAGTCACCCTGATCCAACGCTCGCCGGAACACTTCAGGAGTTCCCACCAATAAGCGGTTCTTTCGAAGACATTCGTCCCAACAGCCTTTGTCCCAGCGTTCCATCTCCTTAGGGCCCGAAACGAGGACCTAAGGAAGATGATGATCCCTCAATCTGCATTGAGGCTGCACGGATTCCTGATATGCCTGAAGAAGTCGCTAATCAGGGAACCCTTCAAACATCTTTTAAGCATGAGTTTGGGAAGAAAAGCCACACGAATGAGACCGTTCAAGATGTGGAAGTAGCGCGGGTCATGGTAGTTCGAACATCTGGTCGATTCTGCTCAAATGGTTCTTCGAGCGGGGTCCCTGAGACCAGAACTCCGATGGCAATTCCACATGACAGCATGCGACGAGGCCGCCTCTGCCCTCCCCATGAAAATTTTGGGGAATACCCCCATGAAAACGCACCGTCGACCCTGAAAACCACTGGTTGGTAGAGGAAAACCGTCTGTCTTAGGGTGCTCCATTGTGTTTACCGCCTGGGCTCCATGCCACAAAGCTCGGCCGCTGGAGGTGAGGCTTGGCAGTGCGTTTGACAGTACCTCGGCCACCAAAGGAAAGTGGCCTTGGCACGAGCATCCTTGGAAGGGTAAGTCAGTCACTGAAGCTCAAACTGAGTGGAAGCACCTCGAGCCTCGAGTTGAACAAACACAAAACTTCAGCTGGATCGTGTTGAATCTTACCCGTTTGCAAAACCACCCAAATGGAGGAATCAATGTCTTTAATTTTCACAGCCAACAACCTGCGTGCAAGCGAATCGGAGTTTCAGTAGGCGATTGACTAAGTCGCCAGCTCTGTGTCCCCTGCGAGAGGCCCCACTTACACTTGGGAAGATTAACACGGAACATCATGGAACCTGAAATACGGACCTTTTGGAATACAATGTTCTTCTACAGTACAGTACGACCCAGTGACTTTCAGGTTCCATGTTCATCTTCCAGGGCGGACAAATAACAGCACTTGGTGAAACCACATGAAAACCGTTTCTGTTTCGCACTGGGACACTTCGCTTGCTGGCTCACCAAGGCTTTGGTGGGCACCACAAAGAGCACATGCCGCTCCTCTTTCTCCAGGAAGTGGTCAATGACCTTGACCTTCATCAGATTCTGGGAGCTTGGGCTCTTTGGGCGGCTGAAAGGGTTGAAAAGGGTGGACCCCAGGCACATCACAAATCCATCCTCCTTCGCAAGCCCATCACAAGTGGTGGAATGACCTTGTTGATCCTAGTTCTCAGATGAGCGGTTGAACAGCCCACTGCATCAGGGCTCAACTTCTAGAATGGACACTCGTTTCATGTGTCTATCCCCGGAATCTCCTGGCCATCCCGAACCCACCAGGAGCTATCGTTGGACTGGGTCCACTTACCGCCGCTGTGCCGCTGTGCGCGCTCTTCCTCTCCTTTCGGCCCCCTTTCGGCCCCTCGCCCGGCCGACCCGCTGGGGAACCCGACGGCGACCAAGGTCTTCCCGGCCCCGGTTTTCAACGAGACCACCATATTCTCCTGAAAAAGACATGAGAGAGACGAGAACTACGTGCTGCTTCGTCTTCGCTCTCGATAAGTCAAAAAGAGAAGCATTCGACCGATGAAAAAGAGCATGGATTCGACGCTGCTCGCCCTGTGGTGGGTGAGTTGGCATGGAAGTTTGGACTGTCATGGAATGATTATCATTCAATTATGATTTCCCATTGGAGCCCGTGAACATAGAAACCTCATGAAAAGCTCAGACATGCTCAGACCAGCTTCTCACGCTACTCATTCCTATCATGTCTTGAAATGTCTTGAAGTTTTGTGGTTGACTGGTGACTGGTATCCCCTCTTACGTGGCCGAGTTCGTGCTCTCGGCTCCTCTCCGTCATCGTCCCGGTTCGGCCGTCATCCACAGTCCACCGGATGGCTCTGGACGTGTTCGTGCTCTCCTGGATGGCTTTGTCAATGCATTCTTGCTGGTATGGCCGCACCTGCAATGCCATAAAGCAGCGCCCCGCAGCGCCCAGCAGGACGATGGCCAGCAAACCGCGAAAGGAACAGCTGCGAGGCAGACGTGGTCGGACCATCCGCGCGGGGCAGATTCTGTGCAACGCATGCAGCTGTTTGTTTGGTTGGTTGATGCTTGTCATGTTTTTGCTTTTGTTTTGGTGATCTCAATGTCTAGACCCTTTGACCTGAGCCCAATCTCTTTTAAATCTGCACATCGGCCAATGGCAGCTATAGTTTGGTAGATATTGGTAGGGTGACTTCTGTTCCAGAGTAGATGAGTAGACATGACTCCACTGGTTCGTGCCATCGACTCTAAAAACTCACCCGTTTTTTTGGTGTTCATGTCCGTTGAAGAGGCCCGGCAGTTCTATCTTCGCTCTCCACATCCAACATGGCACATCCGTGTTCTTCGGACGTCGAAGGGAATCCGCAGGCCCGAAGCAGCAGTTGGGTCACCAGACAAGGAGACATGCTGGCTGTGCCTACCGGGGTGATGCTTCCCGTAAAGTGCTGCCCATCATAACCATATATAACATTATATAACCATAACTCTCTTGGAGTGCGAATGTCAAGGTGACCCTCCTCCAGCGCGCGCATTCGGGGAGCGCCATGTTGAACTCTGGGTGGGGGCGCCCGTGTCACATGAAACCTGAAGAAGGGCCTCCAGCTGGTAGGGGGAAACAGTCTTGCAGGGTTGTTCTCTGAGCTTCCATGTCAATCATCAGAGTTGTAAGTTGTATATAACTATATATAATGTGGTTACTAGTTACTAGGAATGGCCTCCAACTTTCTAGCGATGGCCTCCACCCTAATAGCGATGGCCTCCATCCCAATAGCGATAGCGTCCACCCTAATAGCGATGGCCTCCATCCCAATAGCGATAGCCTCCACCCTAATGGCGATGGCCTCCACCCGAATAACGATGGCTTCCAACCTGCTGCGATGGCCACCACCCTACTAACGTAACCCCATGCTAAGTCCCTGCCAAACCAATATTCCGAGCTCCCCGAGCCAGGGATGCTCTAGAGCAGCTTTGGCAGAAATCCTGCCAAACAGCGAGGTCCAGAATGTGACTTGTCAGGAGGCTTTGCCTTTGGAAATGCAAATCGCTTAAACACATTCAGAGGGTCAACACGTGCGCGTAGACAGAGATGACCATGCAGCAACAGCGATAATGACAGCCTCACTTGGAGGCCCGTTATTTTCCGCTTCACAAAGTTGGATGGAAACACCGTGTGACCAACAAATGTTGCTCAAGATTGTGGTGGTTTCTATATATCTTCGTCTTAGTTGGCATAGGGATGCCCAACAAGAGGTAACAACCTGGGTCGCTCATGGTTTCCACTTCCCACCACGGGCCGACGAACCCAACGGTGCATGGGTTCTGCAGGACTTCGCGGAAAAGAATCGCGCCTTGCGTTTCATCTGATTTGCTCTCTTGCACTTATAGTCTATTGCCAACTCACCAAGTAAACCAAACGGGCAACATTTCAAACAATCCCTTCTCCCGTGGATAAAGCCAAACCCGTCACAAATATATAGAGGACACTTCACAGTAGCAGGGCTTGGTCGGCTTGGTCGGCTTGGTCTGTTCTGACACCTCAAATTGCTTGCAGGAACTTCCAGGACAAAGACATGCACTACTCACTACTCCCAGGAGTCACACAGGAGTTGTGTTTAGTCCCTAAGTGAGTGGATGTTCTGGGCACCCCTAACCTCCATGGATCGCACCCCTTTGTGACTGCTGGTCTGCCTATATATACACGAATGAGACTGGCAACTTCAGGCCCCGAGAGGTCTGCAAGAGTCAACACACATCAACCCAGCTGGTTTAGAGCCAGAGCCTAGTATGAGCATACCCGTGGCCAGCTCCTGTCTTCCGGCAACAGCTGCAACCTTGGAGTCGCTTTCTTGGTCAGCTGTCTGGTCCGGTGAGGGATTTCTTCAGCTCATCTCCATTCCAACATATTATATGGAAAAAACATGAAAAAACTATGGAAACACCGTTTCTGACGATATATTTAGCTGGATATTCCAACATATTCTGACTCCAACACAGTTTCTGACTTCCTTCCAACATATTCCAACCACGCCCCCCGAGCGGAGCGCACGACCAAGGGCCGTCAAGGCGGTGAGAGGCCGCGTACCAAGGCCGCCAAGCCCGTGGTTTCCCGTGGCCCATGGGGAAATAACAACAAAACTTGACCACTTCCAGCTTTGGCCCAAAAATCACACGAAAAATTAAAAAACGTTTTGAGACTGCGGCAATGCGAAAAACGATTATCCATTTTGATATCCATTGCCATGTCAGCTTTGGGCGGTCGAGAACCAAGGAGTGGAGATGTGTTAAACTGGGGTATTCAAACCGAGCCCAGCGCTTCCAAACCCAACCCTTCGCATCCGAGCAGCATGGGGAGCAGGAAGGATGCCAAGCTCCTTGCTTCTATCGCGTGCATGTGGTACTTCTGCAACCTGAATATCCGACCCGAAACCTGAATATCCGACCCGAGCAACGGACACTTCACGTCTGAGAGGAGGCAGTGCAAAGCACCAAGAAGTCATCGACTGGCTGTGATTATGGTTGCAAACATGGGAATCAGCTGAAACCCATAATTATGCAGTATGTATATCATATCATTGTATCATCCCAAAACCCGACGCAAAAAATCAACAAAACCAGAAACACGAAACACCCCTCAGCTCGATCCCGACAGCTCGACCTCGCCAAGTCGCAGGACCTCGGCCAGTGGCCAATAGCGCAGCGACTTAATGTGTCGCAGCTCTCCCCGTCGGTTGAAATACGTGGTGGAACGCCTCGCGGCACTGCTTTTCACGCGGTTAGACGGCTATACCGGCTATACCAGGTGTTTACACCAGCAAGGGTGTCAGCAAAATCAGGCCTGTCCTCACGTGACAGCCACGACTGATCAGGGGGTGTTCCCATGTCCTGCCTGCCACGACTGATCAGGTCCTTAGGCATTGGCCCGAGGAGCTCAATAAAGAGGGCCAAATGGTCCTGCGAGGTGCCAGGTCCACACCGCGCGCAGTAGGTCCGGGCTCAGTCCGCTCTGCGAAACAGCCAGTCAGTGCGGAATGGAGTTCTTTTTTACACACATCCCAAGTGTGTGTTTGTGTGACCTGAGAACCCCCCTCTCTCACTCTCCCTTTCCTTGCTCTGCCTCTTCTTTTGCGCCATGAACCTCTCACGTTCCTCCGTTTCGGCTTCTCTCCGTTTCGGCGCCTCCCCCGTCTCCAGTGACCCCCCCGAACCTCGTCGCGGGGGTATTCATCCGAGGCCTTCGGGTCGAACAAATAATCGCCCGTGGCCAGCTCGAAGACCTGGGTTCTTCGTGAAACGAGCAGGGCGATCCGCGAACGGCTCCGAACGGCTCGAAGGGAAGAAGCCCAAGTGGATCCCCAGATATCCAAGTTCCATGAAGCCTGGCAAGTACTTTCAGTGAAGGCCATGGTCAAATTTTAAATAGGGCGACCTCCCAAAGACCTCTTGGAAGAAGGACTATGGACTAATTATATTGTATAATATTCTATAATTATCGGCCAAAACACATTGGTTGGGTGCCCCTAAATAAAATGCACTTACATCCGTATGGCTTCACCCAATTGGGAGCCAAAAGTTGCTTCTTTCCGCCGGTGACCTGCATCCTGACGGCCAGCCATGAGGTTCGATTGGCCCAAACATATCTTCAGGTAGTGATTTAGAACACTGAAAACAAACAAAAACAGCTTCTCAGGACGTCTGTGGATTCGTTTCTTCTTGCAGCCAAGGCAGCCATGCACGCCAGTGACCAAATATCAGCCTTGCAAGGTCGAAGTTGGGCTGGCATGGAGGATTTGAAGAACTCAACCCGGTCCAGAACAAAAGGTACTTGTAAGGTCAAGCTGTGTCTTGGTCATAGCCTGAAAGATGTCAGGCTCGCCCCAAAAGGAGCCTAACTTGAGGCAGTCAAGCTACTTGTCAAGCTTTGAGACGCCCACACGCCATTTCTCTAGCAACAATGTGAGGTCTGTGAGATCTGTGGGCTCCACCTTTACATGCTTTGACGGTCGAAATGGGTGCCCTGCAAATGGATTCCGGACGCAAATGAGTCTCGGAGTACAGAATAGCATGCAAGTCATTGCAAGTCTATTTCTTTTGTGAGACAGCGCCTACCCCTTTTTGAATTTCAGGAGATGAAGGCCATGGCCAACTACTCTATCCGCCCTAGCAATGTGTGCTAAGGTCTGATTGCTCCGGACCCGATGAAGAACATTGAAGAACCATTTCCCATCACCATTGCTCCACTGTCACAGAAGCACTCGCAGGAAAAAATGAGACGTGTGTTTTCAAAGCTCTAGCAACAAATGGCTTCAAGTTTAGTTTATGTGGAAGGTCTCGACTCTCAACGAAGATGGTGTTTTATGTTGCTTTGCATCAATCCGTGCTATAGAGACACCAGGTGACCGTAGGCGACCACTGACATCCACTGACCACACATCCAACTCGATGACTCGATGAGTGAGAACGCACTGGGACAACCGTATAAATCCCACCAACAACCATCAGCAACTCGCCAGCTGGCTTTGATTCCTCGATCAGATTCACACATTCACTTCCAAGGTGCTGAAGTGTCATATCCTGCATTGATAATGGTCTCCGGAGAGCGGTATTGTCGCGTCTGGATGTCGTCTGAGAAATGCCTGATGAGCACTTTGAGAGGGTGGGTGGGCATGTACAGCTGCCTTCTTCATTCCAAGGACGAATGAAGTTCCCAATCGACCAAATGTCGCACAAATTAGAACGGATCACACATGTTCTTCGGCAGCATGGGTGTCGTAAATGGTTCTGGGTGTGGCACAGGCACAGGTCCTCAGGTAGAGTACCAAACGCTTATATAATGTTATATATGTTATATGACCTCAAATGAAAGATCAGGTCATGTCAACTCACGGAAGCAGCTCATGTACCAACAATATCCAACACTTTCGACCTGAGGTTTCCATAGTTTTCCAGGGTCACGTCATCAACTCAACTCCTAATTCACTCCACATACCTATCACATATCCTCACACCAAAGACTTCAGGAAGCGTTCCAGCCGTGTCGAAGCGTTCCAGTGCATGCCGCGGCGCCTTTCGACCCAACAGGCGTTGCCCAAATCAGCCACCTTGTAAGTGACGCCATCATGGTCGAACAAGTCCAAGTTCAAGACCTTAGTGCTGATGGAATGCTGAGGATGAAAACAGCCAAAGACAAAGGAGTGGCCACTAGAAAAGAGTGGATGCAAATGATTAGCTGCTAATGATTGTTGATGTTCATGATGTTGATATGACTGAGCCATAATTTAAAAACAAAAAACTCTGAACCACTTTTCTCCCTGGCGAGATCGCTTCAGCTGTTGCCCGACAATCTCCGACTCGACCGCCAGGGTCTGAGCTTAATATTCTCCTGTCAGCACCTTTTCGGAAAGAGTATTCAAATACATCTCAGATACTCAACTTCTATCCTCAATTTGTACACTTACATGCTGATTTGGGAAACACTTGGCCTTGCAATAAACATCAACGACTCTAACCGACGTATGGCTGTTGAAGATTCTTGGCTCGTTGCATGCAAGTATGCAGTATATAATGCACAACTGCTGACAATCAGTATCTTAGGTTGGATGCTTCTCACATGAGGATCCAACATGATCCGACTAGGACTATACCTGAGAAGCTGCAAAACGAAAGCCGGCGCTTCCCTTTCTCGAGAACTGCGCGTCGAAGCATAGGATAGAAAGGTAGGTCTGCACCCTAGATCCACCATCCCACTCCATTTTCTTTCATTTCTCTACGGCAGCTCCGCTTCGCATTTGCCAGGTGGAGGCGGCCGTGAGACCTCTTACACACCTACACAAGTTCAAAGCACGAATGAGACTTCAAAGCTGTGGATTGCTGTGCGTGTGTAGAGGCTATCGAGCGGTTGACGGAAAGGGAACTTGAAGTACTATAGTTGGTAGCTGCAAGCAAGGTGCCAACTACACCTTTCTTTTCAAGGTGGCCTGAACAGAGTGTTTCAGGGCAGTAAACCGTGGTCTCAGGCCACCTTGAATTTAGCTTGAAAACCACAGCTACATAGCTACCCTGGGTCTCTATACCTGGCAAGGTGCCAAATACACCTTTATTTTCAAGGTGGCCTGCACAGAGTGTTTTAGGGCAGCAAACCCTGGTCTCAGGCCACCTTGAATTTAGCTTCAAAACCACAGCTTTGAAGCCTCATGCGCGCCATACCTGGGAACAGAATTGTAGCTACAAGACCTTTATTTTCAAGGTGGCCTGAACAGAGTGTTTTAGGGCAGCAAACCGTGTCTCAGGCCACCTTGAGTTTAGCTTGAAAACCACAGCTACATAGCTACCCTGGGTGTCTATACCTGGCAAGGTGCCAACTACACCTTTATTTTCAAGGTGGCCTGAACAGAGTGTTTTAGGGCAGCAAACCCTGGTCTCAGGCCACCTTGACTTTAGCTTGAAAACCACAGCTTTGAAGCCTCATGCGCGCCATACCAGAACTGTAGCTACTTGTAGCTACACTGGGTCCGTATAAATAGGGTTTGCTGCCCTAAAACACTCTGTTCAGGCCACATTGAAAATAAAGGTGTAGTTGGCACCTTGCCAGGTATAGACGCCCAGGGTAGCTATGTAGCTGTGGTTTTCAAGCTAAATTCAAGGTGGCCTGAGACCACGGTTTGCTGCCCTAAAACACTCTGTTCAGGCCACCTTGAAAATAAAGGTCTTGTAGCTACAATTCTGTTCCCAGGTATGGCGCGCATGAGGCTTCAAAGCTGTGGTTTTGAAGCTAAATTCAAGGTGGCCTGAGACCAGGGTTTGCTGCCCTAAAACACTCTGTGCAGGCCACCTTGAAAATAAAGGTGTAGTTGGCACCTTGCCAGGTATAGAGACCCAGGGTAGCTATGTAGCTGTGGTTTTCAAGCCAAATTCAAGGTGGCCTGAGACCACGGTTTACTGCCCTGAAACACTCTGTTCAGGCCACCTTGAAAAGAAAGGTGTAGTTGGCACCTTGCTTGCAGCTACCAGGTATAGTACTTCAAGTTCCCTTTCCGTCAACCGCTCGATAGCCTCTACACACGCACAGCAATCCACAGCTTTGAAGTCTCATTCGTGCTTTGAACTTGTGTAGGTGTGTAAGAGGTCTCACGGCCGCCTCCACCTGGCAAATGCCAAGCGGAGCTGCCGTAGAGAAATGAAAGAAAATGGAGTGGGATGGTGGATCTAGGGTGCAGACCTACCTTTCTATCCTATGCTTCGACGCGCAGTTCTCGAGAAAGGGAAGCGCTGGCTTTCGTTTTGCAGCTTCTCAGGTAGTATGTTGCTATACCTCTTACACACCTATACAAGTTCAAAGCACGAATGAGACTTCAAGGCTGTGGCTTGCTGTGCGTGTGTAGAGGTTCTCAAGCGGTTGACGGAAAGGGAACTTGAAGTACTATACCTGGTAGCTGCACTATAGCTACCCTAGGTCTCAGGTGCCAACTACACCTTTCCATTCAGATGATGCAAATGATGCATTTGGCATTTCTTGCATCACCACCCCTCAAAAATCACCTCCAACACAACCTCAAAAAACCTTCCCTCGGAGCACCCTCCTCCCCCAGCATGTGCTGAGTTGACGTGTCCCTTTCTCGGGCCACCCCCCCAGACCCCCTAACTACTCACTTCGTTCGCCAGACACAACTCCGCTAGCGCCTTCTACGAAGGCTGGCTTTCGTAATGTATTCAAAACATATTCTGAGTGAAATCTCAGTGTCGAAAGGAACTTGTTCGGGCGGATATTTCATTTTTGATCCCTTCTGAGTGGCCGTTAGTTTGGCGGACGATCAGGCACAAAAGAATGCAAAACATGCCGTTTGGCAAATCTTTCAAAGGACCCCAAAAAGGTTTTCCACTTCTGCATCTGCGGGCTTCTTTTCGTGAATTCAAAGCAGATGGCGCAAACGTGCGCAAACCATCCCCAAGAGGTAGTGTAACATCCAAGTAATCAGGTGTGGAGTACTTTGTTGTGGCTGGAGCCGCTATGTGGTTGGAGTCACCAACCTAGTTTTGCCCCATCTATCGCATGGCACTGATGCATTGAACCATTGAGGCCCCTTGCTTCTTCCAGCAGCTTCTCATCAATGCCTTGGGTCAGGCCACGCTCTGCGAGAGGTGCAGCGCGCGTTGCGGGCAGGCTACAGTGGGCAGGCTGCAAAGCATGTTTTTTGTTTGTTTAGACCTTTGTGGTGATCGATATCGTTTGAGTGGAAACCCATGTTTTCACCCCCTCCCCAAAAAAATTGCTTTCCTGTAGACTTCCCCTTAAACCAATTCTGGGATGAAGGGTCGCTCCTACCCAGCTATCCAGCTACCAAGTCTTGCCAATCAAACGCCAACTCAATCAACCTCTAGAAGCTTGCTAACATTCAGCCACTCTCAGGATCCAACTGAAAAACCATTGCCATGCTGCTATTTTGAAGCCGTATAAGACATGTCGAAAGACATGGTGTCATACCCCAGCTACCACCACGGGCGCTCTTGGCGGTCCAAGTGAGCCACCCTCCATCGGCCACCAACCGCGACCACGTGGCAATCGGGCTTGGCCCCATCGGGCGACGAGCTCGGCGGCATCGGCGCAGGGACTGGAACGCCCGGGGGCACAGCCTTCATCAAACCTCGTAGCATCACGCGGTCCGGTGGCGCCGGGGGCACGGCCGGCCGCCATGAAAGTGCGGAGGTGTTGTTGTTGGAAGTCCCGACAGTGTGTCTGACATCTCAGGAATAGTTACTGTATCTGTCCGTGCGTGAGTGTGTGTGTGTGTGGGTGGGGGGATTATGGGTCACACTAGCCGGCAAGTGGAGCAGCAACTTCTCAAGGGTGGAACACCAAACCTATATATATTTTTTATATGTGATCAATGAATCATCGTGTTTACCTGTAAAAGGAGAAGTGCTGCAAACCACCTGACACGTTATAAAATGTTAAATATATATATATATTTATATAATGTTTAAATTGGAGCAAGGCGGCTCTGCTGTGCTGAGCCCTTCGTGTCGGCGACTGTCCGAGAAGTTCGCGTTAGAAGATGTTATAAGTAGAAATGTTGGTTGAAGGAAGGCTTCCTTCTGCACAGTCATCACCCCAGGGCCCCAAGGTGTGAAAACATCAAAATTACACCCCCGGGAAGGTTCAACATGGAAGCTGAAAACCACTGCTTTGTGGAGGAAGCTAGGAAGCTAGTCTTGCAAAGGACAATTTTCAGGTTCCATCTTCATCTTCCCGGGTCTACTTCCAAAAGAGTGACCCGGTTTTACCCGATTCTTGCGCCTTTGGCAGATCTCCTCGTCACATCCACTTGTAACATCCAGGTCGCTGGACTAAGTCGATCCCGGTTTCTGTCCCATCTGCCAGAACCAAGCCATTGTCCCTGCCCATGCCCATACTTGGATGCCCCAGCTCGGAGGGTTTGGCCTCTCCCCTGAGATCCGAACGACTTCGGCCAAGGGGCTGCTGGCGTGGTTGTACAAGGGTCGATTCATAGCAATGCTATCATCGCCATAGGAAGACAAAAGCGTAGGATCGGAACGGCTGGGCTTCAGGAAGGGCTTCCTGGGCTGCGATGGAACGAACGCGCCACGCGCCAGGAAGGCGTGGCACGAACGGGGCGTGGCGCAATGGCCACAAGTTCCCCGACCACTCTCCACAGGGCTGTTGCGATGGCAAAGCTGTTTCCGCATGTACCCAGCTGACCCGGTGAGCAGTCCTAGAAGAATCACCTTGCTTGGGGAGGGCCGAGGTGAACGACATGTTTTTGAAGTGGGCCAGGGTCGAAATCGACGTCCGCAGGGCGGGGTCGAAATCGATGGTCTTAGCAGTGGCAGTTCGTGCGGTTCAGGGTGAAGACTTCGAAGACATTCCGGTGGAGCAACGCCACTCAGCTGTGGCACTTCTTAGCAATATCCCTTCTTAGCCACGCCTTATAGTCATCACCTCGACTTCGGGGAGGACCCCGCAGTTCCCGACTTCGGCCTCACTGGTCGGTCGAGTGGTGGACACTTCCTCCCGAGAGGTACGCCCAGGTCCCCCAACAAACGCCCCCAAGCGTCATATAAGGAGGCGACAGGGACTCGTCGTTGGGCGGAGCGGTCTGCGTGGGGTCGGGCACCTGTGCGACCCGGATGGTGCAAGGGCGACGCCGGGCTGCTTCGGGACCGACGCCAAGTCCTCCTTTCTATATTTAAGAACTTGCGAACTGCTCCGTATACCCTTGCTCGAGCTGTTGAACTGTCAGACGGGAAGTCCTGCAGGACAACCCTGATTTACAGCACCTGAGATGAGACATCATCGTATTTGGCTCCCTTCGCCAGGCGGATGGCTTCACACAGGTGAGAGAAGGGTGAGAACTGTAGGTTTTGGACTGGTCTTCTCAGGTTGTGGCCTGTTTGTCCCGAACGTGGAGCACCGACCCCCCACGGATTGAGGGCGGTGCAAGGATCGGTGGAGGTCTTGGCATCGCCTCCTCCTCACCCACCTCATCGGTGCCTGGAATTCATCAGTGCCAAGTGGGATAAATCAGAGGAACATTGGAGTTGATCTGAAGGAGCCCCTTTTCAACAGCATGTGGAAAAAGAACAACAACATAGCATCAACATATCAATGTTTATGTTTTACCTTGCAAGCAAACAGTTATCACAACACCAAGACTACGGCATGGCAATGATCTTCCTCCGGATCTTCATGGGTGTTCTCCGGAACCAGCCTTCATCATGAAACTTCTTGTCCTTGTCTTTTTTCTTGCCACCCTTCTTCATGTAATCCTCTTGTGTGCCTGGTCGAGGGTGGTTGTTGCAGCGATCATATGCCTTAAGCATCTTCCATAATCATCAAATCCCAAACTAATATATATATATATACATAGTATAAATATGTTATATAATAATTGTATATAATTGTATTCAAATATCTCCACATGCAATTGCAATTCTAAATGCATCTCGGCTGACGATCACCATCCACATCATGACCGCCATCCACATCACGTGGTGACATGTTCACCTACGGTTGTCCCACCCTCGAACTTGGCCGCTTCCAGTCGCAAGTCTCTTGACCTCACCGAGGGTTCCGCCACTCCGCCACTGCCTGCGGCTTGCTCTTTCTTGGCGAACCTGGGAGTGGCCGTGTGGCCCGCCAAAGTGAAACATCCATCCCTTTGGCACATGGGTGTGCATTGGAATAGACCTGGGAAAGACCCCTGGAAGAAGGAAAGACCAGCACCCATAGACCCATAGCTGGGGAGTCTCCAACACCGGCATGAAGACCTGGAAAAGGTGTTAACGTCTCTAACAGGGCGAATCCTAGCTTTGGTCCTGCAAAGCTAAAGTCTACAAAACCCAATTTGAGGGACAAGTCAAGTCTGCTTCAACTTGCCGGCCTTAACGATTAAAAACTTGAATATGTTGGTTGACCTCATCTAAGATGCTAAACTGCTAAACAGTGTCCGCAAGCTGAGGAGGAGTTGATACACCAACCACTGAGTGATCTCATCTGCTTCCCGAGGTTGTTGTGGGTCTTTGCTTTTTTGGGACAAATGCCACGAGGCTGTCTGTAGAAAAAAGGTCTCCTGGAATGCTGATATATACTATCTGATACTACTCTAAATGGGGGCATAGAGCTTCCTCCGCCACCCGCCAGTCAAATGTCAGTGTCCAATAAATCATCTGTATGGGCGGCCCAGCTTGACCAAATTTCCCTACTCGAGTTGTGAGTCACGACTGGTGACAAAAACGGTGATCCACGAACCAGTTCCATCAAACTTTGCTTTCCAACATCTTAAAGATTCATCGATCTTGGGAAAACTCCTTTTGCCCCCTGCATCTAGATTCTATGGATTCTCTGGAGAGGATTTCCACAGAACAGCAAACCAAATCACCATAATCACCTGATTCTTCATTCCAGATATACTACTTGAACGTGGTGCCGTTCCGCGGATCAAATCCCATCTCCGCCACTTCAATCCCAAGGCGCATGCTGGGGTCAATGTTACCCACCAGCGGGATGCCCGTCTTGTTCACGGGGACCCCACGCGGGCAGCCCACCAAGACGTTCTCGGGCTTCAGATCCGTGTGGATGATCCCGCAAATGCGATGCCTGGTGTGACGACCACACGAGCCGAGCCGAGGGCGGTTTGACCGCCGGTCTCGTCTCTGGGATCTCCGGTGGCGAGTTCTGGTTGGTTTGGTGGCAGATGTGGAGTGATCCGCCAAACCAAGTAGAGGGGGCAAAAAAAGGTGCAAAACCTTGCAAAACCATCAACTACTGTAAATGCTTTTCTGTTTGGACTGGTCCATCTTGGTTCATCTTGGGTCAGTGGACAGCATTCCTGTGTCCACTGATTCCTGTCACAATCCAAGTGACGGCAAACAAGCCCATGTCCAAGAGGAAAAAAACAAGTCCAACACTTTCACGTCGTCAATTTTCATCAACACCACTAATAGCGGTTAGCAGTTCCGTACCAACCCTGCACACAAACCATGAAGGTCAAACATGATGGCCAGTGGAGTATATATATATTATACAGTGAAAATGGTCGGTTATTAAAAATACAAGTTGTGAGCTCTCGAACAGTCACCATTTCGCGGTCAAATGTTCGGCAATCATGCACCAGGAGCGACACTCCATGTCGGACTAAACTCACAGGCATAATTATATATATATATTAGTTGTCAGCCAAGCTGCAAATAATCCAAGCCAATCAAGGTGTGTGTGGTCACCTTCCTCACAATGTCCAGCCTTGGACTTGCTGAACAACACCAGCAAAAATCCATGTGCTCCCCATACTTTCGCTACATTCCCCGAGGAAAACCCAGCAACAAAAGATTGTTCAAGCAAACCGAGGGAGCGGAATGCCTTTGAAATTGTACCTGGCAGTCGGATCCATGCAGCGTTTGAACAGCTTCTAGACGGAATATGTTCCTCCCCATTCCACAAACATGTCATTGTCACCCCAAACTGTTTCTGGGGTGCTCTGGGCATGTAGTTCACGCTCGAAGGGACCACTCGATCGGTGTACTGATCGGTGTACGGCCATCTGGGTTGGTCCGGGGCCTCTTGATCAGGGCCAGCACGTTAGGGCCCATCGTCTCGAAGACCATGCAAACCTGGGCAGGCTGAGTTGTTGTGGGTTGCATCACTGCACATGAATACCTTTTGACTAATGAAAGTGATGATCCAGTCTTTGCACCGTACATTCCTGCGGGAATGCATATGTCATGATATATTTATATCATGCTTATCTTGTGTAATGACATTCTTAGGTCCTGCCATTCTTGAAACCACACACACACATGCGCACACACACACACACATCTGACTCTACGTAGAAACTGCAACTCTGTCTGTAAGTCTCAAGCTTCTCTGTGAGTCCGTTTTCACCAGTAAATGGCTGATGATGGTGGGTGAGGGTCTTGAGCAGAATAGAGATGGATTCAGCATGATTCAGCAATAGTTAGGGCCCAAAAGCGGATAGGAAACATCCATCACGTGTGATGTCCCTTTGCTCTTTGCTTGACCCAATTATATAAATCAGGACAAGTCACGTGCTTGCCATTAATGCCAAAATGCTCAAAGTAGTCCTGGGCGTGGCCAGAAGAGCCAGCAACTTTCCCTCCCCTCGCTGACAGCCCTGTTCCGAAACACTGAGAAGCCGATTCATCCGAAGATGTCACCTATTGGCAGGTGATGGCAGGAAGCGCTGGGTGGAGGTGAGTACACCATCTCCCAAATTCCGATCCAACATATCATCGAAATCAATCACCACAGGCTACTGGACATGGTGTTGATCTTCGGCACGGTTTTTGCATGGTTTTGTCCCTAGGGCTAGACCCCCCAAACCCACCCCAACCATCTTCTCAGGAGGTGGTTGGAGCCCCTAGGGTGTTTTTGCATTGAACTCGTCCAACCAGGTTGGTGAGTGAGCTCCGAACGCTGGCTTGCGAAGAAAGGACCAATGAACCTGCGCCTTACATTCTCCAAGTGGGCTGGCCAGCCCCTTTTCAAGCCTGCCCGAACTTCTTCCAACTGAAAAATAGCACTAGCTTAGCAAATCATGTCAAGAAAGATCATCTCAAGGGCATGTACATCCATTCCACGTAGCCACACGTAGCCCTTCACCCTTCACCAAGGGGCAATGAGCTGCACGACACCGGTGAAGCCCTCATTGTTCTTCTCGGGAAACAGCTCCTTGAGAGGTCCCTTCTGGGTCTCCTGCGATGAATCGGGACCAAAACGGAACGACGCGAGTCCCTGCGACGCGGTCTGTTCGGCGATGACAGGGACCGACCCTGTTTCCAAAATCATCGGGAATCCTCTCCGATTTGGATGTCTGGCAGGGTGGGGCAGCATGAAACAGCCCAATTCGGACCGCCAAGAGGCCAAAAGCCCAATGGATGCCGGGTCGTCCCCTGCCCGATCAAATGATCCAGAAAGCCAGCCTTTCCAGTTTCACCCCACGCAACACCTGGTCTTGGAGTCCGGGGACTCCAAAGCCAAAAAGCATTGATTTGGATGAAGTCACTGAGTGGGCATGACTCAGAGTCCTCAACCTGGCGGGTTGGGTGCTGTAATATCTGATGGGGGATGATGGGGGGACAAATCGGCCCTCACAAATTACAAAAACATATATATATATATACAGTACACGAACCCTCCTGTTCCCATCCGAGTGTTGCTGTCGTTTGTTCAATGTTGTTGCTGTTGTTCGACAACCCCCCACCCAAACTTGGCACCACTTGAAACCACCAGAGTTGGAACACCGCAAAGAAGAAAAATACCTGGGAAGGTCATGGAAGGTCAGAATATATCCTGGACAACCCTCCATCACCCAAAATGACTCTTGGGGACAACTCCTTGGCTTTATTTTTTGTTTAAAACAGTCTTGCGGCACGGCCAACGAGTCGGGTGCCCGCTTTCGCCCACCTCCCAGTTAACGTCTTTGCTTCGCTTCGCCGCCTAGCAAGTCGTCGAGCCAGGCTGAGCAGCTCAGGGGATGTCGCACTGATCTGACTTATTATCATATTACATTCATATACCCTAAGAATCCGCAGGGGCTCTCCTGGCAGGGGTCGGACCCGACACCGAAATGCAGGGGTCCGGGCCCGAACCAAACCCTATCTGTTTGAGAGCCCAGATTCTTAGGGTATTATCATATTATTGTCATTATGTGATCCTCAGGATGAAATCTTCTCTGCCCCATCTGGTTGGAGCACTCAGCACTTCTTATGGAGCCTCGGCGAGCAGCTCAATCTCATCATACGCGGCTTCTGTGTAATGTGGAGCACTCTTCTGCACCTGAAAGCCACTCCGCTGGGGCGGACCCCACAATCAGCTGCTGGTAGTAGGGAGCTTTTCATATATTGGCTGCATGAATGCAACAATTCTCTCCACCCTCGAGTCTGGCAAACTGAGCTTGACTCAGAGTACCCAACTCACAGTTTGACACTCAGCTCCTTGGATGTGATTGAAGCTTTAGAAGATTTTAGAAGGATCTCTTCTTAGGGTCCATCCAAACGTCCGTCAGCCGCTGGAGTTGGACGCGAATCCAGAAAAACCGAGTCTGGGTGAGTCCACCGATCTTTTTTTTGGCAAAAAAGACTTATGGTTTCTTGGTCCCTCAAGGAACTTATGAGAAGAAAGACATGGAACATCATAAAAAAGGTCCTGCTTGTGAGGGGCATCATGATAATCCCTGATAGGGAATTGTCTCCTACTGTCTTGTAATCCCTTGTGTCAGTGAGCCCTTACAGCCTTCACAGAACGCAAGGAAAGGGACACAGTGGACACAGTGACTTGTTTTCCGCATCAGCTGCGTATATCCTGGGCATCAGCTGCAGGGACATTTCATTCTGGTTCATGACGGCCCCAATCTGTGGAGGAAAACCTTCATCGACTCGAGCTGTCACAACTTCGCCGCCACCTTCATTGCCACATAGCGCGTGGCTGAGAGGTCCTCGCGGGGTTGGATTCAACGAAAGGAGCCTCATCCATTGGTTAAACCAAAAAAGCCTCATCTGGTGGGTTCAAAGCTAAGTGGGTTGGCTGCCTGCATCTTTGGGATTCGTACAAATCTGCGGGGCCCTGTGCATAATCCAATTTGGAAGCTACCGCTCTCTTTGCACCTAAAATAGTATGGGTCTATTGCTGTTGGGTGGTTTACTATCCTGAAGTTAAAATCATTAAATCCTTAGCCACAAGAGTTTCAGCACTCAAAAGTGGAGCTTCAGTGAGGACTCCGGTGTGCAGTCCTCACCAAAAAAAAACGCCCTCCAGTCCTGACAAAGCCACACGGTGGAAAAGTGGCCCCATCCTGGGCGAAAAGAATGAAAAGAGGGGTCGACAAAAAGCCATCGTTGGCTGGTTTTTGTTTTTGACACCACCACCACAATACACCCCCGAAAACTAACATAGACCCCGGCCCGACAACGACCCCCTGGAAAATGGTTTTCCTCTACCAACCAGTGGTTTTCAGGATCCATGTCCGTCTACTCCGGGTGTAATGTTACAAATGTTACAGTAGAAAGTCAATGCTTGTCTTCTTCCATCACGGTTCAGCTTTTCGAGCAGCTCGCCACCAAGAAGTCACCAGAAAAGCGAATCCCCACCTCCACATTTGAAGCCATGTGTTGCATTTCCTGTTCCTTTTGTCTATCTGTGGCCGTTGGAACATCATAACCCCCATAAGCTCTAGCAATTTCTAGCACCTACGAGGGGACCAGCTTGGGATGCAAGGATTCCGGCCAATGTCAATTATGGTTCAATATCAAAGCATGAAAGTAAGCAAAGAAACATGGTTGACAGTGGACAGCGTCTCTGGGGCAAAACATGTGCGCAAATGATTGGTAACCTTTCACCACCAAAATCAAGCTGTTCCATTCAACCACATGAAGTGGCCTAATTTCTTCCCAGTGGCCTAACTTCGCCAGCACATGATAACGTCCATTATAGATCTCACCCACGTGCACGGGGTGATATCCACCTTTTCCTCAGCCATGCACGGTTTTGTGTGCGTTTCCGAGCCGGCGAAATGACGAAATGAACTGACGTTCCAAACGGAGGAAGAGGTGAAAGAACAGTCGACTTGAAAGTCGACTTGATGGAACTTGGGGAAGACTTGGGGAAGAGCCCGGGCCTGGATGGATCATTCACCTGGTGGGTCGCGCCCCTTCAGACCTTTCGGATAGAGCAGTTCTGTGGTGGATTCGGCCAGTGACTGGAGGTGACTCAATGCACAGCTGGCAGAGATACTGCACCGCTGGTGGTACCGCACCTTGCCGCCTCCCCTGACTGATGGCAGGTTATGGGCAAGTGTGACCTATGGTGACCTCCTGATGACCTCCTGATGACTTGTGACTCCTTAAGGCCCCATTTCGGAACGTGGACTCTCTAAGTCTCCACCTTCGCCAGTTCCTTCCGACCACGCCAGGGGGGGGGCCTCTGCCGGCCCAAGGTGCGATAGCCGTCAGCACCCTCATCATCACTTTCGGTGTAATCCTCTGCATCTGCGTGTGCCTGAAAAATCCCATTGAACTGAGAAGCAAGCAAGCTTCGCCTTCAAAGCGAAAGAAGACGAAAGGAGGACCACATACATGTTCAAGTGTGTCTCTTTCAATTAATGTGCGATATTCACGTGTGATTGCAGGATTCTGCACCAGCCACCTGCTACCATGAAATAACGCTTGCCCACATTGCAGCAGTTCACATTCATCCAATATCTGATTGCTTTCCCTTGGGGCATCGGTAGTCTACCCACCCTGCTCTACAAGTGGAAGTTGATGGGAGGTTGTGCAAAAAGTGCCAGGATTTCCTTCCTTCAAGAGGATCGTGGATGGTCCCCGCTACGATACAACATATTACACTCCCTGGAACTAACATGGAAGTGGAGAATGGCCCCAAAAAGAAGACCATGAAATCCACTACAAACAGGTGGTTTTCCACTTCCATGTTAGTTCCAGGGAGAGTATATATATTTATATATCAGTAGTTCCCGGACGCCCTTCCCTGGCTTCCATGTCTTATCTCCGGCCCATCGCCATGAGATGTCAATCCATCGGAATCGCCTCGTTCTTCATCATTGAATCCCTCCGTGACGTATGCACCTTACAGCGGTGCAGCGGACACGCAAGCAAGGAGCCCCTGAGGTGCCACTTCGAAAGACAGCTTCAGAACCCTCCATCCCCAGCAGTTTGGGAAGGGACCATCCCACTTGTCTCCATGTTGTGCATGTGCGCGAGGCCCCATTCCACTTGGCTTGACTCGTGAGGCCTTCATCCATGTTTTGTGTGTCTTCACCTCTTTGCTCAGGAGCTGGCCGAGTAGAACAACTCAGCACGTCCTGACCGAAGGCTACGGCTATGGCCTTCAGCACATCTTGAGCCCAAAGGAGTTGAGACGGCTATGGCCCAGCGTCGTGAGACCCGAAAGCAACAGAAAGCAATGGGATTTGAGACGAACAGCGCCCTTCAAGCATCCACCGATACCGCAAGCCGATGGCTCAAATGGGCCAACGTCTCAATGTCTCAATGGGATGAGGCACTGATGCATTGAGGCTCTCCAAGCAAGGGAAATCCTACGAAGGGGGGGAACCTCCCAACTTCAGTACAAATTCCTACCATGGCTGCGCGTCATGAACATCTTCAGTAACCTCCTCCACCTGCTACAAGCCAAAAGGCAGGAAAAGAAACCCAAGGGGGAGAGAAACAAACAAAGTTCACTGGAGTTCTTGAACGGATGAATCCGGAAATCAGCACCTGCTCTCTTGTTCCACGCCTTTGGTGGTCAAACCCACTCAAGACTTAAAACCACTCAGCCCACGTGACCATGCTCTGCCCCAGGTCATCCGGACCCTGAAGAATACAAGAAATCGTGTGTACACACAAAATGCTGCTGCTACGTGCTGCTGCTCCTTCGTGTCTGGTCTCGCTTCTCCCCCTGCCTCTCTCCCGATGGATATATCAATAGCAACATATAGTAGCAGTGTGTTATATGGTGTATACATATACCATCTGAATATAGTGTGTTCATATACATATATAGTAGTGTGTTATATATATATATACACATATATACCATCTGAATTGCATGACGAGTCTAAACTAGCGGAAGCACCAAAGGTTGCACCCAACCGCCACCTTCCAGTCTCTGGCATCGACCACCTTAAGCATGCCCGGTTGCAGTGGCTTGGGCGATGGCCGTCCACTGTGCCTGCTGAGGCTCGAGCTTCCCCAGAAGGGGTTTCATCTATATGATCTGGAGACATGGTCCATCTCCCCTGAGCAAAATCAAGTAGTATATAACAAGATGTGCTGAATGGTCCGGGAGAATTGCAAGTATTGTCTGGGATGAACTGCCCCACCATGATGGATTACAAAGCATGGTCTAGCGGTGGCTTCCGCTGATCTCCTGACTTCTGGCAGCTGGGGACGAGGAGCAAATGAACATCCATCTACGTGGACCAACAACTGCTCAGCTAACGAACTCAGTTGGCACCCAAAAACAGGAGCAGTAACAGGTGGGAAACACTCACCATAACTGCCATTAACTGTAAGTGGGCTTCTTCTATCTCCCTTGGGGAGAGCGTTCGGCCGTTTCGGGCGCCTGCACACCCTGAGGCTGTCCATAATCGCGAGCCACTTCACGCATCGCGTCCGCTGTGCTGGAGTAGACCTCCTGTGACACGCCAACCCGGTGGCTCTGGCTCACGTATCTACTGAGCAAATTCAAGCTCGAAATCGGGCATCGGCATGCATCTAATTATCAGTACTCCTACCCTACAAGTCCAAGGACCAAGTTAAACCTGGTCCTTGACCTCATTGAGTAATTAATTACTAGTTTTGCATGACCGGACCCAGTCAAATGAGGTCCTCGACCTGTAGGGCCTATATAATCCTATATATATATACTGGACGATCTATGCCCTCCGTCCCTCCCAGTACTAGTTACGCCCCCAACATCGGCGGCGGCGCTTTGGCTGCCGCATCCTGCGTGTTGGCACCGTCCAGGGCCACGACCAAGGCGCCCAGCTGCGCGGCACTCCGCAACTGCCTGGGACCGCTCTTGTTCTCTCACTCTTCAGCTTACCCCCGCTGAGAAGCTTCAACGATGCCATGGGATCATTCCATCTTCGCTAAGGAATGTAAAGGATGGGGTGGCTCTTCTGAAAGGTTTCTTCCGATGTTTCTGAGTGATCAGTGGAGGTGCAACCTCCAAGTCCCAAAAGACGTCATCTAGCCTCCATCTGATATCTATTCATTTCATGTCATGTCCCTCTCCTTTTATGGTAATGCGCCTAACTCTTGGACCTGCCAGCATGCTGCATGCTGACCTTTTTGTTTGCACTGCTCTTTGGAATCGCTTCGCCTGTCCGTCACGTGGACATTCACGCGGTTCGGTGCCACCACATCCAACGCCATGAGCATGGCATAGGAGGCTCGGCGGGTGACCTAGGCTCGCGCGGGGTGCTTCGGCCCACTGTTGGGATGCACCAACCTTGTGAAATCTGCAAAACATTCGGGCACGAACCTAAGGAACAGTTCGACAAGTCTAATTATAGTACTACAATGTACAAAAGCTCCACGAAAGGTGGGGCATGGCGGGGCATCACCCCGACTCTCGACTCAACGTCCCGACAAGCCGCTGAGTCGGAGGTCGGCGCGGCCAGCGAGGCCACACCGCCCGCGGCAAAGATGGCCTCGAAAGTAACGGCATCGCTACCAGTAACAAGGGCATTACTCGTAACATCAAGGAATATAAAGGCTATAGAGGACTTTGCTGTGGTAGGTAGCAGCTAAAGCTATGGCTATTGGCCTAGATTGGGCTAGTGATTGCCGGCAGGCCTGTTCTAACCCGTATCCAAGCTGCCCGACTCAACCTACGACAAGAACTCTGACAAGAACCTCCGGTACAGGTGTGTAAAAGAGCTGTAAG